TGTGTGTGTGTGTGTGTGTGTGTGTTTGTGGGTGCCTTATAGACTGACAGGAAATCACGTGATTCCACCACAAGAGGTCTTACACAAAATGTTCCCTCCTGGGGTGAGAAATTGTTCTCCTCGTGGTTGTTGTGAAATTGTTGGGAATCTCAGCCACTCTGAAATCGCTACGCAAAAAGTACAAAGTTCTCTATTTCTGCATAGTGCCTGGTTTTGAGAAAGTTGACGTCAAAGATTTTGAATTCCCCAGCGTGTCCAGAATTTTCAAAATGCAGCAATTCTGTGAATGTCTTGATAAAAACTCTGAATAGTCGTCGGTGCTTGGCGGGCGCTCTAGTCTAGTGTGGTTTGCTTCTTCTTTCCTATCAAACATCTATCGTCCTGATCTCTCCTCCTTATTTTTGTGTATATTACTCTCTTGTAACACCTCTAATCTTCGGCACTTATATGACCTTATTGTGTTGCAAGTGCGTAAAACTCTTTCTAAAACTAAATTGCCTGCTGAGAAATGCATCTCAAAGTACGAGTAAAATCATACATTTTAAATGGGTTGGGGGTTTCTTTTAATATGAAAAGCGGGTTTCTCGCATGACGTAATGGCAACTCCGGATGTGGTTGCAAGGTAAAAAATAAAAAAGTAATTTTAAAAGTACCGAATGTAGGGCTAAATATTTCTTTCATCATCATAGATAAGGTATTGAAAAGCCAATAGAAACGTAACGAAATAATATTTTATAAACGTTGGTAGAGATCTGAGACAAACGAAGAAATACCGGAGTATAAAACAGCCGTGACATCATCACCAAAAAGAAAAAAGACCAAACCCCAAAACAACAAATACAAAAACTAAGAAAAACTAAGAAAAAAACCCCAAACCCCAAACCCTCCCAATGCGAAAAAAAAAAGCCAAAATAAAACGGCAGAAAACGAAAAACTCGTTTTAAATGATTTTATATTCCCCAAATCGACATCTCAACTGTAAATATAGATTGTGAAGAGCATAGAGCTTGCTGTTGAGCGGGGATTTGCGCTATACAAAAGCTATCTATTATTGTTATTATTAAACAACAAGGAGGAAAAGAGACGTCAGTAACGAGGGGACCAGAAATCAGGGACGTGTTTAGGGCAGAATAACTGTCAAACACATCCATCGCGGGAGCAGTCACACCTAGTCATCTCCACATCATTTCAGGAATCCCTCCCGTAAATAATATACTTTTTTTTACATTATAATATTATGGCGGGGAGGCTGAAGCAGAGCACAATATTGTTTAACCCTATCTGTACGCCCTGGAGTCATTTTGTACCCCCGGGGTTGTATTCTTCACATTTTAGAATATATATACATGTATACGTCCTTTCCAGGAAGGTTCCCCACTATTGGCCATGCGCGGTGTGGAACTCACGAGGGTTAAACCACCCAGTCTGTTCACCGCGGTTAAGAACACTGGAACCTTCATCTTGATATGTGCGGCGCGTTCGTTTCCTTTTCACATGTACATCCACAATGAATTCCCTATCACTCTTCCTTAACTATGACCCTTCTCTATCTCAAGGGTATCCCTGACGAAATGACCATACGATGGATAGACCTATTATGCCACAACTTCTTGGCGGGGTAGTGG